CATGGATTTATTGGTATCACTTTAAAGTTTGCTAATGTTTTGACGTAAGTGAAAAAAATATCTATCTTGAACAGAAATCGAAATATTTACAACGGAGCTCAGATTAGGTTGATTGCTGTCAGAGTTAAACTAATCCAAAGAATGGTCTCCAAAGTTAAGTAATTCTGAAAATTGAGTGTCCTTGAGAACTGCAAATGTGCCTTTATATACCTATGATCGATTGTACGAATATACATACATACAAAGTGTATTTTTGATTTAGCAAATAAAAATCTTGGGTAACTTTTAAAAAAATGTTTAATTTACCAACGGTCGGAAAAAGAGGTGAGGATTGCTTGGTGTCAAATTTAATATAAGCCAGAAAATGGCCTCCAAAGTTTTGCAATGTTTAAAGGTTGAGTGTCCTTGGAAACTACAAATTAAAATTTGTCGTTTTAAACCTTTAAACATTATTTTAAAACATTTTAAATTCATACAAAGATATGATTTTTAATTGACAAATAAAAGTATTGGCGAAAAATAAACAATATCTGTATACATTTTTTTAATGGCCCAACGTCAAGAAAATGTCGGATTCCTCGATTTAATTATTTTATTTAAAGAGAACCTGCTAATTTCACCCCGATACCACACATAAAATGTACCTCCTTTTTCCCTCCAGCCTTCCTGAGACAGTCGTCTGAGTAGCGGTTGACCATGTTGAACTTGTCCGTTATCACTTTGCCCTCCCAGATTCCTACTGTGACCAGCGCGCCCGGGTCTACAGACTTGATGGCGGCAGATTGAAGGTTAATGAACCTGGGGAGGAAAAAAAAGGGGGCTGGGCACTTTTTAATCTGTTCTTCCAGAGACAAGACTGCCATATCAGGCATGGTATTGGAGACCAACTGGAAAGCTAAAAATGAATAGACAAACTGAAAGTTACAGAGACACAATCAGGGATGAGGCAATTTTGCAGGGTCTGGGTGTGCCAAGTCTGGAGGAGGGGGCTAAGGACAGGCAAGAGTGGCGTAAACTGCCCTCTGCCTTATTTACCTGACGGTATAGGGAGAAAGTAAAATTAAACGTATTGTTGATGCGTATTTTTGTCATTCGACAGTATGCGGAGTTTTGATGTCCCGTGGTGTGTTTTTTTTCTTTCTCATTAAACAGTTATCGTACTGAGCTCTTTTTCTTCTTTTCTGTGTATGTTAATCTCTTGTAGTATGACTAATCCTCTGCAGTTTCTTAAACCTTGTTGTGCTGAAAGTATCGTAAAACTCTTACTAAAAGTAAAAACTGACATGAGAGAGGTAGGAAGGGACAGAAATGTGGATAGACAGACTAGAAGTAACAAAAAAAATTATAACCTGAAAGACCCAGTCAGCTATAGAGGTTAGCTTTGAGGTATAAAACTAATCGTACAGATCGGTAAAGTCAGAAGCCATAAGACAAAAAAAAAGTGCAACATAATATTATTATCCCTCAAAAACACACAAAAAACTATGCAAATTCAATAATGAGTTACGAGCTTATAATCGGATGAATACAGCAAAACCGGCTATAAAGACCACGCCTAACACAATAAGCTGACCAAACGACCCCATTTCATGTTTTTGTTTGGGTTTTTTCCTAGATCATACTGACACTGTCAAATATAATCACCTACCTCAGAATCTCAGATGACGACTTTTCTTCTCGACAATTGGTCGTCGTCTTGGACAGGTTCGATTCTCAATGAGTGAAGACTACAGAGACCCAAGCAGATATATCAACAAATAATATCATTATCTTACCTGAGCATATGCTTGTAGTCAAAGAAGGCGCCATGCCAGCCAATTCCAAAATTAACACCTCTCGTGTCAAAGCAAGGGTCAGTGTCAACCTGTGCATGGGAATCCATGAACAAGATGAGAAAATAGTCGCTTTAAGTCGAAGCTGTTTGTCACTACCTCCTTGTTGTATCCTCTCTGTCCTCCTTTCCATGCTCTCCCTCACCCTCCCTCCCCCCCCCCCGTTAGTCTCTCCATACCCCACCAACCATCTCTCTCTCTCTCTCTCTCTCTCTCTCTCTCTCTCTCTCTCTCTCTCTCTCTCTCTCTCTCCTCTCTATCATTTTCTTTCTCTCTCACAGCCACATAAAAATACGTACAAAAGAACGCACACACCACATGTACGCACATTTATTTCTTGAGATTCCACTCTGTTGCAGTCACTTTGAATATAAATGTTTGTGATAATGTTACGTTGCACAAATTGTCTACGATGTATAATGCCTTTAATTAATAGAAGATTAGACAGTAGTAGTTTGGTTTGGGTGGGGGGAGACAGTTACTTAATTGAGAAAAAAGTTGCTTTACATCACCATTTACCCGATTCAATTTATTAAGAAACCTGTGTTAAAGTGAGAGGGTTGGGCGGAACTCCACTATCATATCTCGAAAGAAACCAGCATGGCGTATTTTAGAGAACCACTCAGAGTATTTCACCTTCGAATTCTAATTGTCCCTTGTCATTTTGTAGTGTTGACTCTAAACTCAGAAATAATTTGTGTGCACAAACGGACCTTCCATTCTCCCAGCCATTGGGTTCAACTGGTATCTGACAGACAATTGCTACTCCACGCGACACCCACCGGTGACAGTTAAGAGAGAAAGGAAAAGTAAAAGCAAGATTGTCCTCAAACGTTAAAACTTTTAGCTTAGCTTGATATAACATGTGCTTCTAATGCACAGAGAATTGGGCAAACAGAAAAAATTGACCTCACCGAATGTCGGATGAGAATCCCTTCAGGTTCGTTGCAAATGTCGTAAGCTCCGAGTGCCTTGTGACCTTTCAACTTTGTAGCCAGCGGCTTCAGCACAATGTCAATGTAGCTCTGTAGTTTCTTAGTGTCGCTGAAAGGAAATAAACGATAGTTGTTCTAATAACAACACTTGTAATTGTAATATTTCATATAGATAAACAACAACTACTACTACTATTACTACTACTGCAACTACTACTACTACTACTACTACTACTACTACTACTACTACTACTACTACTACTTCTACTACTACTTTTTCTTTTCTTTCCTCTGCGACGTCTCAGTGATAGTCGACTGTTGATTATTCAACCTGCAGTGGAATTGTACCTTGTCTTTCTCGTGAGGTTTATAAATGTCTGTAGGCTCTCTAACACATTCCATTTCGAATGTTGTTATCTTACTT